CCTTTCTAGGAATGCTCTGCTCACCTCAATTGAGGAGGGGGCTGGAAAAGGTACCCTAAACATAGCCTGTCTCAAATCCACTCTGGCTAGCAAACCGCGGCTGGCGGAGGTCCCACATAGCGGTCGAACAAATGAAAAATCGAAATTTAAGGTGCTTAAATTGGGCACCTGGAACATAAGAACTCTTATGGATGGCTCGAGAACAGACAGGCCAGAGCATAGAACTGCACTTATTGCAAAAGAGCTGGCAAGGTACCACTTGGATATAGTTGCACTCAGTGAGACTCGCTTAGCTGACAAGGGTCAACTTTCTGAAGTGGGCACGGGATATACGTTTTACTGGAGTGGTCATAACACCGATGAACGGCGCGAAGCAGGAGTAGGCTTTGCTATCCGATCTGATCTGGCTAGTACTTTACCACACATGCCCGAAGGTATCGATGACCATCTGATGACGCTGCAACTACCGTTAACGAACAATAAGAACATGACGCTCATAAGTGCCTATGCTCCAACGATGACTAATCAAGACGAAACAAAGGACATGTTTTACGAAGACCTCGAGTCTGTCATCTCTTCCGTTCCAAGGTACGATAAGCTAGTCATTCTTGGTGACTTCAATGCACGTGTAGGCTCAGATCATGTGACCTGGGAGGGTGTGGTTGGGAAGCATGGTATTGGAACGTGCAACAGCAATGGCCTACTGCTACTCCAAACGTGCACCATCCATGACTTGACCATCACGAATACTCTCTTTCACTTGCCCACTCGCAACAGGACATCCTGGATACACCCGCTTTCAAAACATTGGCACCTGATTGACTATGTCATTACTCGAAAGAATGATGTGCGCGACGTGAGGGTAACAAAAGCCGTGTGTGGGGCAGAGTGCTGGACTGACCACCGTTTGATCATTTCCAGACTGGTTGTAAGAGTTGTGCCACGCAGAAGACCTCAAGGTCAAAAAATGTTAAGGAGATTGAATGTTGCCTGGCTGAAGATTCCTGAAGTTGCTGAGGCGTTTCGGAAGGAACTGGAATATACCATCAGGAATGCCATTGCAGATGCTGATGCTGATCCCGAAGAGTGGTGGACGAAGCTCCAAGAAGTTCTCCATGCTACTGCTTCACAGCACCTTGGACCACTCAAACACAAGCACCAGGATTGGTTTGACGAGAGTGACAAAAAGATCCAGGATCTGCTAACCGAGAAGCATCAGGCCTTTATGGTTTACCAGAATGATCCTGCTTCGGAGGCACTGTACCATGCATCTTGCATCTGTCTCAGTTCCTTTTGCACCTTCCCCTTGGCATTTGCAAAAGCCACTTTCTTGGACTTTGGATTTCCTCAGCTTTGCTACGCCGACCAGAATGACAGCAAGCACTTCTATGAATCATTGAAAACGGTTTATGGACCCAAGTGTGTTACCTTGCTCCCACTGTTTAGTTCAGATGGCAGCTGGCTCCTTGTAAACCGGAAGCAGGTTCTAGATAGATGGATTGAACACTTTGAAGGCGTTCTGAACAGACCATCCATTATAAACGATGAGGCCATTGACCGCCTACCTTAAATAGATATCAATGAGAATCTCGCACGTCCTATAACGGAAGAGGAAGTGAAAGGAGCAATCCACCGCACGTCAAGCGGGAAAGCTCCAGGATCGGACGGTATTCCGACGGAAGTGTTTAAATGCGGGGGACACGCTCTCATTCGGGAATTGACTGAACT